AGCATGAGAAGGAACAGGGGTGTTTTTAGTCAGTAAGAGTTTGACACTCCCTACCGTCATTTCATGATTTTCCCCTCACAAAAATAAAGGATTATAATAATCCCATTCATATCATACTGCGTATATGGTTCATAAGCCTGGCCCTCTTTAACTCCAAAACATATGCCAAGGAAATACAAGTCGCATGTTTAATAGAAAACAGAACTTACTCGTAAAATATGGTATTTCAAAATTGAACCTTATTAATGAAACATAATTTTTGTGATTCAAATACTTGCTTTTTTGTGTTAAGCTTCTTTTTTATTGAGCGTGCGAAGTGTCCTATCTTTTTAAAAAATCTTAACGGTACAACAAGCCAAGCTCAAAAGGTCAAATCGTCGCTCAGTAGGGGAAAACAAATAACGTGCAGATGAACAAGGGTGTGGTTGGTGGAGCAGTTGTCACCTCTCCGTACATGGAGAGAAATGGAAGTTAACACGCGTTGTGCAACGTACACCTACTGACCGTCGACTTTAGTCTGAACTTTGTATCTACATGAAACTGTTAGTATGTTATTCTGTAAATAAGTTTTTTCTTTACTGATTTACGACTTTTCACTTAGCATGTAAGAAAGAAAGAAAGAAAAATAATTTATTGAGCATGAACAATTTGGAAAAAAAAGCTAAGATATGTAGGTACTTGTACAATAATCAGGAAAAATTATATTAACAATAATAATACAATTATAAAAAAAGGTACCAAAAAAAACTAATACAAGAATGTTGAGTTTAGAAACTAAAATACCTAATTCTCTTATCTTATAAAATATTATTGAAAAAACATGTGTCTCTTGAGTTCGTATTTTTTTTTTATTAATATGTGGATAAAAAACTTATCCTAATCCATTTGGTTGGTGGCTAATATCTACGGTTTTCGTAAAAATGCGATTAGATGTTATTGTCATTCTCAGATCAAACTGCCACCAAATAGACTGATTGTAAGCTGCCAAAAGCTGGAAGAAGTTTTGTTAACGTATCCAAACATTTTAAAACGTACCAAAGTTCTGCCATTATCTATTATTGTAACCATATTAACATTATGACGCTGAAGATTTTTTTAGTCTGAAATGAACAATTCTTTTTGTGTTAGATAGTCTATATAAAACATTCCAACTTAACAGTCTACAGATATAAAATATCACGCCTCGACAAACAGAGCCGAGCAGCGGGTGAAACCGCGCGAAACCTGGTTTGTTTAATAGAAAATTACCACTTTAATATTATTATTTTTTCTAGCGTCTTATTACACCAGTCGTCCAGTCGAACCATGTACCTATAAATAATAAATAAATCGGATCCTTATGTCACGTTTCCCAGCCAAATACGGACAGACAAGGTTTACTTTTTATCATATTGTTTACAATAAACTTATGACGAATAAAAGTCGTCATAAGGCAATGGTAGCTATATTTTGTCAACTTATATTGTCTGATTTTAGTTCTGTTTTAGAAATAAGATCGAAAACTGGTTTGTAATCTTATTTTCTTTATCCTACGATAACATCTTTTGAAGTCTGAAACAGGACGCGAATTCCAAAATCCATCGATTCTAAAATTATATGCTTAAAGTGAATACTAAGTTATAGCATTGATATAAGAAAGTTCCACCTTTTAGCCCTAAACAGATTGAAACTTAGATAGAAATACAAATCTGAATAAAAAAATCTCCAACTCACAGATCTATTACAGCCATTAGACCAGCTACACAATTAAAGACTCTTTAATAGCAAAATACAAGATAGCTGTACAAGAAACATACCATCGTAAACACCAATAGTTAATTTAATAACGCCCAATTATCTTAATAATAGCCAGGAGCCGATTATTGACCATGTAAAAATAAATTTGATCCGACAACTAACGACGCGATTGAATGATAGTGCTACCGTAAGGCGGTAAGGCCGATACCTTGAGACCACTCCTTCTTGCTGTTCCAACTTCAGATTATGATATGTTACAAGTGTCAGACTTCACAACCTTGTTCTGCTGTCAGAATTTGAAATATAAAACGCCTTATCGGTATTATTGACGGCTTAATGGCAGGTCCACGAGACCTGTACCAATTTGGAAGCGTTGTATTATAGTTTTTATATCTAAATAATAGTCTGAATCATCTTCAGCAATACCTAAAATGAAGTGTGTCCTATTTTAAGAGAATACTGCCGATAAAAATTTCTAACAGCTCTGGATTACGAATTCGAAAAAGGAATTAATTTTTTTTAAACCAATCATTAACAGTGCTGGCCACTTCGTGTTCACAAATTGCGCATACAGCCAATATCCAATCTACTATTATTATGTCACAATGCGTTCTAGACATTTTTCTACTGCTTATAACATCGTACAAAATCTCAATCACCCGATATCAAAAGTCATTAATTAGTAAAAACGATAAAAAATATAGATTATGTTCATGAATTCATTACGTAACAAAGTTTTAATAATCGTTTGCCATAGACATGTTGATGACCTCATAATATTTTTGATAAAGAAATGTTTATGCGTTCATATCAGGGCTTTCTGGCGTCCATTTTGTTAATAGGCAGTTGCAATAATCTATATTTAGATTATAATTAAATTTGATTTTATAGAAGTCACATTAATTTACTTTATTTTGAAATTTTCTAACCTCAAAAGTTTAAATGTACCTAGTGGAAAATGAATTTAGAAATTATTAACTTCTACAAGTCCAATGTGTTCAGGGATTTCTTAAGGAATTTAGAATTAATTATCACAATTAGTGAACATACCAATCAATGTTCTATTGTTAGCTAATGAATCACACGAACGATAAGCATTGCATCAATTATATCATCTTTCGTTATGAATCGGAAGTCTTAACTAATTTGTTTAGGTTTATCTAAGAGGATGAAACACAAACCTATTATTTTGAGTACTAACCTCTTTCCTACTATTTCTTGTCTAGTAGTTATTAAGTTTTACATTTAACCTTATTAAAATTACCTTTATTAAATTTTTACGGGTACTTAAATCGTTGTTAAAGAAGATGTCTCTGAGAAATGTGTCTGAGTGCGATAGTTAAATATCTATCTTAATGAGTATTGTGGATTAATTGCGTTACGATTTGGAGACTTAACTAAAACAAACAAACTTCACCTAAATTTTCTTTACAAACAATAAGTAGTGAACGAACCTGTATGGTAATGCAGAACAGGCGTCTGCGACGGCGCCATTACTCGATTGTACTATCGTATCGGTGTCTAAATCAATTCACGGTTCAATCGATTCGTGCATGATCCGAGAATCGAGTCGAACCGAGTCATTGAGGGTAGGCGATTAAGCAATCGTTTTTGAAACAATAGATTGTACATCGAAAAGGTTGGCTGGTGTACTAATAGAGTTTATTATATGCACTGTCTACACGAACTGCAAAGTTCATTTTGACATTTACTTAAACATGGCTACCTGTAGTGCAATGTTTTCTTCATGGTTTGTTAGTTGCCACACTTGCTTCTGTGAAATGTGGTTGCGAGTTAGCTGTCCCAAAAACCTTTTGGTTTGTTTATGAAAACCTTTTTATTTTTGGGACAAGCCACCTCACTTATCCCTTCTTGTGGTGTTCTCACTTAGCCTCGTTACTTGCATAGTTTTTGTGTTATATAACGAAGTATGTATATACCTAAAGTAGGTATTTTGTTTACCTAACATAGACTAGCAGATTATTAATGCCGAAGTACAAATCAATGACAAATAAGTAGAAACTGTAAGTACCTATGTATGGCCTTTTATGTTTAAGTATCCTAAGCAAGGTAGACTAGTTCATAATTATCTTTGTTTGTACTTTAGACAATACCAACAAGCCCTACATTGCCACATCTCATTGGTAATAAAGTTAATTCACATGCAAACTTGTTTACTCATATTAAAAAGCACCATCGCAACTTTAACATTATTTTACACTGGCAATAATAATAAGCTGTTGTAAGTGACGATAATAGCACCTTTTCGGTGGCAACCTTTTACGGTAAGCAACTTATTTGGTAAAATATTCACAGATATTCGATTACATTAACACTTATTATCGATTGTAAATTGAACATCGATTATTATCGATATTTATTCGGATAAGTACTAAAAAGGATTTAAGAATAGCCGCCTTCTTAGTGCTCAGGTGTTTTGACATCACATTTATTTTTATTTTTTTCGGCCAAGGATCAAAAACGCAAGTCGTACATTTTATTTTTATTGGTTTTTATTTGTCACTTGAATTAATTGCTGCAATTATTGTACAGTGTAGTTATGTTAATTTTATCCCTTAATTCTTTTTATCGAGGTGAAATTTCGTTTGCTTGTTCTATTTATTTATATTTTAATGTCAGAATTGACATTTATTTGATCCATTTTTGGTTTTGATGAGAGATAATTTTAGCCAAGTCCGTGTGTTCCCTGTCATCAACAAGAAATCTCTCATGAATGTTTATTATCTTTAATATGTTATCAATGACCCAGTAAGATAGGCTCGTCTCGCAAACATTTCGTTATCTGGAATTTAGTCTATTATATTATGCGATTTCATTACGAGTTACGTCAAAGACAAATACTAGTTATGAATGCCCAAGATATCAATGAAACAATACTTACCTACTTATTTTGATAAGCAGTGCAGTTTTGTTTCTTAGAAGGCATTACCTTAATATCTTAATAAAACGAACAACTTGTGGATTAAGCTAAAAGATAGTTGTGATTTTTATAAAGGTCTGATAACTATTCGCTTTTTTATTGAACTAGTTTGAATCATACGAGGTTACTATTATTAAGTTTGTCCTCTAATTTACAAAGATATTAATTTCATTCAGAACACCGTAACTTGTATCTGTGTCAACTCACATTGAATCTTCATGTACTAAGTATCCCACACTAAAACAATCCAACTTCCCGCCTTTTACGGAGTCTACCTCATCATATGAACCTTACTTGACCCTTGCAATCTTCAATGTAAGGCCTAAAGATTAATGGGTGCAAAGGCCTTATAGACCTTAGAGCATCCACGTGCTATACTCCAATAACTCGTCGCAACGAGATCGAAGCAGGAACGCGAGCGGGAAGAGTCTATTTTGAATTGTTTACTGCCGTCGCCATTCATGGCTAATAAAGACGTGCGCCGGCGCACCCATTGTGACCGCAACATGGCCGCCAGTTTGAGGGAGGAATGCCCTCTAAGCTCCAGGGAAGTGAACTTCTATAAAGTAATGTATTTAAGTTTGGACCTTTTTTATTATTTCTTAAGGTTTTTTTTACAATAACTTAGTATGATATTCACCTTACCTACTTAACTAGCACATACGGGGTAGTACAGCCATATAAATTATTCATCTGTTAATAACGTAGAAAATTAGAAATTTATTGCGACACGAAATCCAAAATTCGGTGTTAATTTTTGGGCTAATTATTTATGTTTTGAACTTGTTATTAGCGTGGAATCATGAAGTCGTTACAAGTTTCTAAGAAAAGTTTTTTTTAAAAAATCGATTCGGTTTTTGTCGTTCCTAATTCAAGACTAGCGACATGACATAATTGACAAGTTGACAGCTGTCTTTAACCTTAACATTTTAACCACGGTTTTTACCGAATATGTCAAAAAAACTGGCTTTGCTTTGGTTGTAATCGATATATTTACACTTATTAGTAAGACTGATAAAGATAAATTAGAAAAATAATCATTTCATTTTCTAACAAAAAACTGGATTAAATAATCTTTAAAAAAAATTAAGCTTAATAAAATTCACCACAAAAATAATTTCCGATACCGGGAATCGAACCCGAGCCTCCTGGGTGAGAGCCAGGTATCCTAGCCACTAGACCATATCGGATGATGAACGGATGACTGAAATACGGACCCAGTTCCTACAAGAAAATGAAGCCATTAATTTAGATAATAATTAACATTTTTTAGTGACGTATATTCTTGGTCTGCGCATACCGATACGTTTCCAACCTAAAAATAAATTCTATTCAGACTACGACAGAATATGGTACACTTACATTAGCTAATTCTCAATTACCTACCTATAACAAAACAAATTTCACATGACTATCATTTCTAAATGCATCAAATTAGCCAAGAAATACTATCTAAAATCTCAATCATAGAAGCTATACCTACATAGTTAATATCAATATACATTTTACACACAAAGATACCAATCAGCGGAATGCTATCACGTTACAAGTCTTACACAAGCCCAGTTCCAACCATTAAAGGGGTCGATTGTACTAATCAAAGGAATACTCATCTAAATGATACAATTGGAGTGACCCAAATATCGTTCCCTAAATGGTGTGGTTTGTAGAAATGGTACAACTTTGCATGAGATCATCGAGGAAGCTGACAGCGCACGCCACCAGTCAATTGTCGCCGGTAAACGTATCCGTTGGTGACCAGCTCGCTTCAGGTTTATTTATAGACCTACCTATCTACCTACTTACCTCGAATAACGAGTTTACTAATCTACTCATTTGCAAGGACTTCGTAATGGATGTTTCTGCAGTCATTTTATTACTAAGTTTTTGAAGGGACATTTAAAAAGTTCTGATTAGGGCATTGGTCTATTTGTCCACAACGAGGTTATGTTTTACTAGCTACTCCCGCGCGATTTCACTCGCTGCTCGGTTTCATTTGGTTGTAGCGTGTTGTTTTATAGCCTATAGCACTCGGGAATATGAGAATTTGAGAATCCGACCGGTGGTTCCAAAGATTACCCACTTCATACAAAGTTTCAAATTTTACCTCTTTATAATATTAGTACCTATAGATAATTATTTGTGGTTTCATTACAACCGTTATTTCATTCAAGTAAAATAAATATCACATTTTTTGTCGGAAACATGCTTAATGGTAGCTTAAAAGGGTGTATAGTGTCAGAAGCATGTCGTTTTTATAAGCCACGACATATTTATAAATATGTTTCCAACTGTATTAGCATTCTCTTCAATCTCTTGATATATGCGATATTAGGTACCTATTAATCAGATCAGACACATGTAAGTACAAAACGAATGATGGAAATCGAACTAGATTTGATTATACAATCCAAATACACAAAATCCAGTATGCTGATGACAGACTAATAGCTGTATGGGATACAGTTACGTGAGAAACATCACATAAGAATAATAAAAGGGCTGATGGAAATGAGTCCTGAATAAATACTAAGAAATTAACTAGTGTGGGCAGCACTTACGTGGATCGTAAGTGAGAAAGATGAAGGTACGATTGATATGTTCCAACGCCCAATGATAGATTACAGAAAATTCTAGTCGTTTTTAAAATTGGAATTCAAGGACGACAGTTTGTCTATAGGCCACGCTGAACTTTTAATAACAGGTGATAAATCTGCTCTTTTGCCATAAACAGTAAAGTCATTCGAAAAAATATAAAAGGTGTTTTTTTATCTGTTATTATTATGTCGTAGGTGTAACTAAATTAAATAGTAATGGATCAGGTTCACCGGTTAATGTTTGTACAGATATCGTGTTTATATTAACTTACAAATATACTATTATATAAACATTAAACAACTATAGTTTAGGTAACTGCCTATTATCGGAAATGTGTACCTACGGCTGTTTATTTGTTCTCGTTTCTTTTCTGGCTTTATATTTGGGCATGTCTATTTCTGTTTGAAATACAAGATGGAGGCTGTTCTAGGTATTATTTCAAGAATAGATTTTATGGAATCCGGATTTATATAAGACTGAGTGTGTATTGACTAGAATGGACGATTAAACATAACACGAATAAACCAGAAAACACAAGATTTTCTTAAGCTACATGATAAAGGGTCAAAGGAAAGTGAAGGATCCGTAGAAAAGATAAGTACGAGCAACATTAGAAAAATACTGACAAATAAATATTACATTACAATAGTATTAAATGTATTGTATTCAATACATTCAATAAGTACATTCGTTTTCATCTATACTTCTATACCTACTTATTTACTTATATTATAAAGAGGTAAAATTTGTAAGTTTGTATGTAGGGGGTAATCTTTGCGACCGCTGGTCGGATTTCTAAAGTTCTTTCACCGATCGGTAGTTACAATGTTCCTGAGTGCTATAGGCTATAACATCACGCTACGATCAAATAGAGCTGCAGCGGGTGAAACCGCGCGAGAGTAGCTAGTTTCAAAATAAACATGTTTACCAACTCATCGATGCATGCGATGGAAATCAGCGTACCAACATAAAACGCATCGCTTCCTTACCTAACGTATCTATTTCCATATTTCAATTGAACACAATAACAGGCACTCATGCAAAATATTACATTATCCGACAAGATGAAGAGATTCAGTTTACTTCAAAACGTTAGCATTACGTCAAAGAAACGTTGTTAACCAACGATACTTTACGATCAATAATAAAGTTCACAATGAAAACCGCGTCAGCGTCGACAGCTGTTTGAGACTGAACTAAACACGTAAATACTGAAGTATACTGCGCAATGAATATTCTAGAATACAAATAGACAGGGCGTCACTCTTGTCTGACTTGCTGTCGTTACTTTGACCGATGTCTTATTGACATTCTTCCGACTCCTGTCAAGTTGGTAGGACCGGTCGTCGAATTAGTGTTGAATCTGCTAATTTTCGCTTTGTTTAAGGTTCTTCTCGATCATTTCAAGACTCTAATGCTTTTTTCATAGTGTCACGTGATTTCCTTACAACTTCAGATTTACCTGTCGTCTCTTTATCAGTATGTTCTTTATCAAACTCACAGGTAGATTTGGCTCAACTTCAGTCATGTTCATTCAATTTGCTCATTGTTTTAATTTTAGCTGTCATTTGTCGAGATATTTGGTATGAATTGCCAGTAGTAGCAAACGCCAAGTCTTTTGTAATCTGGCTGCAGGTGATTCATTAGTTTACCGTCTCATTTTTGTTCGAGAAACTTCAATTTTAGCAAAAATTTAAGAAGCAGAACTCTACGTAGAGCATGCATGTCAATGGCACGTAATTTGTAAGCAATCCATAAATCTTAACGTCATGCAAGAATTACTGTTCATACAGCTTAATTTAAATCTTGGTCACGTGGCCAACGTAATACCGTGGTATATGAGCCATCGCACTGGACACCTGTCCAGGTGGGCGGCATGGCCAGGGCCGGCGGAAAATTCTTTGAGTTAACAACATGCTTGCGAAACGTTTTTTAGAATTTGATCGCGGTCTTATACGTAAGACCGTAGGCGAGCTTTATACATATTTGGATTAAATTGAAATTATAATTTATTTAACAAAGTTCACAATGATAAAGTTTATTGATTGCCTGCTAAAGTGTTGTGTCAAAATTTAAATCCTATATGTGCATAAAAACAACAATAACTGACGAATTCGATTATTTTGTGCTTAAAATGCGTTCATTAAGTTTAAGATGGTACCTTGACAATAGTTTCCGGTCTGACCTGATCCAGTCATTAGGTTTGGCATACCACGACGACGTCGTGCAAAATTCTACGACCCCCTGTCTGTATGAATTTATAAATAATCCCGGTACGCCAGTGGCGGCGGCGGTGCGGCAGACCGCGGACGGCGCGGGCGCGCGATCCGCAATGAGCGCCCGCCCTAACAAAACTCTTGCGACTCGATCACAGCTCGTAGCTAAGTCATAGAAACGCCGAAGATTAACATCTGGAGTTGCGTGTACATGCTTTACTTAAGAGATAACGTCGCGAGTGCAAAATGTGGTTTCAAAAGTGACAGTGTTTTAATATTTGCCAATTAACGTCGTCTATTAGCGATAGATGACAGTTTAAGCAAGTGCAAATGTGTTTAGCTAAATCAATATTATTTATGGTAAACCAGTATCGAGATTGTCGATACGGAAACTTTCAAGAACTTTCGTTTTTCGAAGTATTCGTTCATCTTGTTCAATTTGACCGGTCACCGAGATTTTTGCTCCGGTGCCTGCTTGATTAAGCGCAGACATGCCACTACCAATTTACAGGAGAATATAAATGGTCGTTTGTTCGGGACACTTGCAAATATATTTTCATATTATTTGCAACGTAATATCCGAGTGACCTGTCTTTTATACAGCATAAACTTGTCGGGTTAATATTTTTTGCTTTTGCAACAGTAATATGAATTACGGCGGGTGAATGCATTTGAAATTCTAATTTTATCCGACTATAGTTCCTTAACAAAAAGAAAAAACTAGACTGTGTCCGCGAATAAAGCGAGACAGCTAAGTATGTCAGTAATGTTGATCCTGAACCATGCATTCAAGTATGCATGATGGATTTTGTATGAAATGAAGTAACGAAAAGGATTCAGTGGATATAAAAATTACGCACAAGTTGTTCAAAGGAGTCTAAAGGTCTTCGTAGTCTTTCAGATACAAAAGAACGGCTTCGTATCATTACGCCGTTCTTTCCATTGCTTTCGCAATTCTAGTGCCTCGTGCGTCTAATTTTACTTTACATTCATGTAGACATGTCATTATTGTCTCATTTGCTAACACATTGTTATTCTATAGTTTATTTTTGACGCGTCCACGTTTCCACGTTCTCGTAAGTGTCCAAATGTAACATTACTGAGTTCGTTCATAATATATTAATTACGTTTCTTTGTTTTGCTCGTAAATCGGTTCGAGGTAGATATTATTACACTTAAAATAACATTGTGTATTATTCTTGGACTCGTTTACTTTTATTCCTGTCATATATTTTTTTTGTTTCAAACCTCACGTGACTTGTGTCAATATCATGGATAAGTTTTGTGAACTAATTTACAACTTTTTCATTTATCTTACTCGCCATGATTTGTTTATGTTTGTGATTCAGAAAGATAATTTATTAATATGAATGTTCTTAGAAGTTTGCTAGTTTACACATGACGTGTTAAATAATATTCATTTCAAACACCTCCAATATTTCCATAGAACATCTAAATTTTCTGTAAAGTTAAATTATTGCTAAGTCTTCTTCGAACTCTTCAAACAATTCTCTTTCCATTTGACCAATGATAAATGATTTTAGGAAACGCTTGTTAAGTTTATTTGTTATCCTAAAACCCGTGCCAAGATTAATAAAATGAAGTTTTTTACATTTTCCCGACGAAAACTTTCTACAAATGATCCGAATAATCTGTTCGAATGCATCCCAAGTTTATAATGTTGATCTACAATTATTTAGAGAAAATATTACGAGTAAACATAACGTAAAGATAAAACAAACATTTGTCATAATTATTTAAAACGTGAAGGATTTTTTGGCAAATTAATGAAAATCTTCTTGTGATATTTCTTTTTCTTAGAATTAGATCTTGTTACTAGTGTTTTTATGCTTATTGCAGTTCTTACAATTTATTACACAACTCAATTCCCGCCTACAATAAATGTTTCGTCACTATTAAGTCCATATTGTACTACATCATGTTGTTTTCTACGGTTCGTACTATTATTGCCGTAGGCGTTTTGTCCATTATATGTAGGCACTCATAACACCTTGCATAATATTTCAACTTCATCATTTTCTGAATTACATTTATGGT